TTCATCAGAGATTGTTGTCATAATTAAATCGCCAAACCTTGAAGAAGTTGTATTTGACAACATTTTTATATCATAATATCGCATTCTAAAACAACAACACGAGGCGGTTATACGTTTCCGTACTTTGCTCTTCTCGTGCCTTTGTTATTTGATTTGTCAAATGCATTTTATTAATGTTCATTTGATTCGATGATTTAAAGCAAGGTTTCAAATTTACTATCTGTTTGAATTTCAGACAAAAGTGGATAAGTTCATTTTTGATTTTTTTTTCTTATTATTGTTTTCATATTCAACTAGACATTTAGATATATCGACGAAATATTGACAACTAACAATGGTAATTTCCATTCCTTCGTCGATATATCCTGGTGAGCTTACAGAGACATGACTACTGTGACATGACGACAATAACTAGTCCTGTCTGTGTTTACTGTGACATGACAGAAATTACTAGTCCTGTCTGTGTTTACTGTGACATGACGACAATTACTAGTCCTGTCTGTGTTTACTGTGACATGACGACAATTACTAGTCCTGTCTGTGTTTACTGTGACATGACGACAATTACTAGTCCTGTCTGTGTTTACTGTGACATGACGACAATTACTAGTCCTGTCTGTGTTTACTGTGACATGACGACAATTACTAGTCCTGTCTCTGTTTACTGTGACATGACGACAATTACTAGTCCTGTCTGTGTTTACTGTGACATGACGACAATAACTGGTCCTGTCTGTGTTTACTGTGACAAGACGACAATTCCTAGTCCTGTCCGTGTTTACTGTGATATGACGACAATTACTAGTCCTGTCCGTGTTTACTGTGACATGACGACAATTACTAGTCCTGTCTGTGTTTACTGTGACATGACGACAATAAATAGTCCTGTCTGTGTTTACTGTGATATGACGACAATTACTGGTACAGTCTGTGTTTACTGTGACATGACGACAAATACTAGTCCTATCTGTGTTTACTGTGATATGACTAGAATTACTGGTCCTGTTTGTTTTTACTGTGACATGACGACAATTACTAGTCCTGTGTGTGTTTACGGTGAGATGACAACAATTACAAGTCCTGTCTGTGTTTACTGTGACATGACGACAATTACTGGGCCTGTATGTGTTAAATGTAACATGACGACAATTTCTAGTCCTGTCTGTGTTAGCTGTGACATGACGACAATTACTGGTCCTATATATGTTGACTATGACATGAGACAATAAATAGTCCTGTCTGTGTTTACTGTGATATGACGACAATTACTAGTCCTGTCTGTGTTTACTGTGACATGACGACAATTACTAGTCCTGTCTGTGTTTACTGTGACATGACGACAATTACTAGTCCTGTCTGTGTTTACTGTGACATGACGACAATTACTAGTCCTATATGTGTTGACTATGACATGACGACAATCACTAGTCCTGTCTGTGTTTACTGTGACATGACCACAATAAATAGTCCTCTCTGTGTTGACTGTGACATGACGACAATCACTAGTCCTGTCTGTGTTTACTGTGAGATGACGACAATTACTGGTCCTGTCTGTGTTTACTGTGACATGACGACAATTACTAGTCCTGTCTGTATTTAATGTGAAATGACGACAATTACTAGTCCCGTCTGTGTTGTCTGTGAGATGACGACAATAAATAGTCCTGTCTGTGTTAACTGTGACATGACGACAATCACTAGTCCTGTCTGTGTTTACTGTGACATGACCACAATAAATAGTCCTGTCTGTGTTGACTGTGACATGACGACAATTACTAGTCCTGTCTATGTTTACTGTGATATGACAAGAATTACTGGTCCTGTTTGTTTTTACTGTGATATGTCGACATTTACTAGTCCTGTCTGTGTTTACTGTGACATGACGACAATTACTAGTCCTGTCTGTGTTTACTGTGACATGACTAGTCCTGTCTGTGTTTACTAGTCCTGTTTGTGTTTACGGTGAGATGACGACAATTATTAGTCCTGTCTGTGTTTACTGTTACATGATGACAATTACCAGTCCTGTCTGTGTTTAGTGTGACATGACGATGATCACTTGTCCTGTCTGTATTTACTGTTACATGATGACAATTACTGGTCCTTTCTGTGTTGACTGTGAGATGACTACAATTACTGGTCCTGTCTGTATTAACTGTGACATGACGACAATTACTAGTCCTGTCTGTGTTTACTGTGTCATGACGACAATTAGTGGTCCTGTCCATGTTAACTGTGACATGACGACAATTACTGGTCCTGTCTGTGTTAACTGTGACATGACGACAATTACTAGTCCTGTCTGTGTTAGCTGTGACATGACGACAATGATAGTAGTACTAGTCCTGTCTGTGTTTACTGTGACATGACGACAATTACTAGTCCTGTCTGTGTTTACTGTGACATGACGACAATTACTAGTCCTGTCTGTGTTAACTGTGACATGACGACAATTACTAGTCCTGTCTGTGTTAACTGTGACATGACGACAATTACTAGTCCTGTCTGTGTCTGTGTTCCTAGTCCTGTGACATGACGACAATTACTAGTCCTGTCTGTGTTTACTGTGACATGACGACAATTACTAGTCCTGTTTCTGTGACAATTTAGTCCTGTCTGTGTTTACTGTGACATGACGACAATTACATAGTCCTGTCTGTGTTTACTGTGACATGACGACAATTACTAGTCCTGTCTGTGTTAGCTGTGTGTGACAATTAGTCCTGTCTGTACTGTGACCGACAATTGTCTGTGTTAACTGTGACATGACGACAATTACTAGTCCTGTCTGTGTTAACTGTGACATGACGACAATTACTGGTCCTGACTGTGTTTACTGTGACAAGACGACAATTACTAGTCCTGTCTGTGTTTACTGTGATATGACGACAATTACTAGTCCTGTCTGTGTTGACTGTGACATGACGACAATTACTAGTCCTGTCTGTGTTTACTGTGACATGACGACAATTACTAGTCCTGTCTGTGTTAACTGTGACATGACGACAATTACTAGTCCTGTCTGTGTTAACTGTGACATGACGACAATTACTAGTCCTGTCTGTGTTTACTGTGACATGACGACAATTACTAGTCCTGTCTGTGTTAACTGTGACATGACGACAATTACTAGTCCTGTCTGTGTTTACTGTGACATGACGACAATTACTAGTCCTGTCTGTGTTTACTGTGACATGACGACAATTACTAGTCCTGTCTGTGTTAACTGTGACATGACGACAATCTCTAGTCCTGTCTATGTTGACTGTGACATGACGAAAATTACTAGTCCTGCCTCTGTTTACTGTGACATGACGACAATTACTGGTCCTGTCTGTGTTTATTGTGACATGACGACAATTACTAGTCCTGTCTGTGTTTCTGTTACATGACGACAATTTAGTCCTGTCTGAGTTTACTGACATGACAATTACTGGTCCTGTCCATGTTTACTGTGACATGACGACAATTACTAGTCTGTCTCCTGTCATGTATTGACTGTGACATGACGACAAATAACTACTGTGTCCTAGTGGTCTGTGTTTACTGTGACATGACGACAATTACTAGTCCTGTCTGTGTTTACTGTGACATGACGACAATTACTGGTCTGTGTTTACTGTGACATGACAACCTGTCTGTGTGTTTACTGTTACTGTGACATGACGACAATTACTAGTCATGTTCGTGTTTCCTGTGACATGACGACAATTACTAGTCCTGTCTGTGTTTAATGTGAGATGACGACAATTACTAGTCTTGTATGTCATTACTTTGACATGACAACAATGGGCGGGAGATGGAGAACTGTAAATGTTGTATTACTGTATAATAGGTCACTGTATGAAAGCTCGTGTTAAATTTTACCTTAAATGCAATTTTAATGCTGCAGTAATTTGATGTTTGAATGCATAGCATATTGTGGGGTTGTAATTCATATAAGATTCAACAAATAAATACCTTAATGAATGAAACATACGGTCTAGGTAATAGTAAGTTAATCACTTTTCACTAGTAAATGTCCTGATATGTTAATACTTGGCGTGAGGTTTATTTCATTGCAAATTTTTACAGGTATCCAGCAAAAAGTTATTTTTTTTAAATACATATTACGATATAGTCGCTCATTTGGATATCTATTTCATTTTTGATTTCTCTGCGGTGACCCAGTCTACAATTATTTCGGGAAATACATCGCAAAACTGGATCTGAATGGTGAGAAATGAGATAAAGAACTTTTAGGGTTAACTAAAAGCGTAAAAAACAGAGGGACATAATCATCCCTACATTTTCTCCCGCTTTTCGACGGTTGTACAAAACTAGTTATATAATACTGCATTTTTAAGCCAGTACGATGACTCTCCATAATCAAACAATGTTCACCTAGCCCATTAGGCTCGATAAATCTTTTACTCTTTTAGATTCTGAATCATCGCATTAAAGACGCTTTAAAGTAGCAATGATTGTGTAATTTAATGAGATCAAGATTACTAATTTATTTCCTATTCAGCCCATTTCAAAAAATATTTTTATTGCCCTGTAAAAATTTCAACCTAAATCCACAAGAAATCATTATTCTACGGGGGTTATTTTTTGTCACTTGGGTTATGCAAGTTTTAAGAGTGATGATACTTTTCGACGTCGAATAATGACCGGTGGCATTTATTGCCGTAAAATATTGAGCAGGGGTTATTTTTCGACGTCGAAAAATGACACTTGTCAATATTTAATGGGGGAATTACTTTTCTTCACAAGGGTACGAAAAGTGACTAGGGGAGCGTTTGGGGAACATATGTAACGGTTCCCATTATAATAATCACTAGTTTATTTCAGATTCAACAAATCAATATTTAAATGAATGAAGCATACGAAGTACGTAACCATTATCCAATCATTTTCAGTAACTGATGTTTATTTTGATATTTATATTTTGTGTTTGGTATACTACGTAGCACATTTCTACAGGTACCCAATGACGAAGCCAGTAGTTCTAAGTACAAGTTACGATATGGGCGCTCTTTGTGCAATTGTTTTAGTTTTGATCTTTTTTGACGTGTGCCAGTCTACTATTATTTCGAGGAAATACACCGCACAACTGGAACTCAATGATGAGAAGTCAAATGAAGAACCTTTAGGAGAACACAACTCTACATCAGTAATAGAGTGTGCAGCGCGTTGTCAAAGGGAGTGTAGTATCTTTGGTTTCCACTCTCAAATGAAAAAATGTCGAACCCACAAGAGGAACCTCATGTCTGAAGTATCAAATGAGGATGGCTGGAGATACTACTCACATGACTGTATGTATAACTGTTATTTTTCTTTTTTTACTCACCATAAATTAGATAAATATCATGAATCTTTATTGCTCAATATCATTAATTAGTTCTAAGTAATAGCCCTTTCTTATTATTTGTAATCACTTCAATTTCCGTAATAAAAACATGCTTAACAAAATTTACATTGTAGTTCATATATTAGCTTTAATTAACAGATAACGTCACTCCTCTCACTTAATTCTTGTATATACAATGTATGATTACAGTATTATATTTTATGAGTTATTTCTGTACATTGTATATACATAGCATGATTCCAGTATTATATTTTATGAGTTATTTCTGTACATTGTATACACATAGTATGGTTCCTGTATTACTTTTTAGATATCTTTTATGGATTGTGAGTTTTTTTTCTGTTTTAGTCACTCCAATAGACTGTAAGGATCTTCAATCAGATGGATACTTTAATTCAGGGGTGTATGAAATCTACCCCTATGGTACCATTACCAGTCCTGTCCAGGCATACTGCGACATGACTACAATGGGTGGGGGATGGACGGTTTGTTGTTTATTTTAATATAAGGCATATTATAAAATTTATTTCACACTCAATGTTTTGTTGTTTAACGGAATATGGACTGAAAAAGTATAAAAATTCTTAGATTATATCATATATATTGATCCCACAAATGTTGAAAACAATGATTTGCTATAAGTGTTAACTTTAAAGGCAATCCAAAAACGAATTAATGGAACCCTGGACTTTGACAGAACCTGGACGGAATATAAAAATGGTTTTGGCGCCCCAGAACAGGATGTCTGGGTTGGTAAGTGTAAATTGCTTGCAAATAGGAACTTTTATTTCTTTAAAATTAAAAAATAAATTCGTGTGTCAGGTAATAGATTGAAGCATAATAAAGATCTGAGCTTAATACTTGGTAATATGTGTTCTACGATATATACATATCATGTTAGACTGATATATCAAATAAAGAGTGAAAAGAAAAGAAGAAAATCATTATCTTAAATCAGGAAATGACGTAATCCATCAATTAACCAAAGAAGGTACCTCATCCCTGTACGTGACCATAACTCTACAGAATGGTACAACGCTGTATGAAACGTACGACAGATTCTCTGTCTCCGACGAAGCAGGAAAATATCAACTCTTTCTTGCAGGACCTGCCACGGGAACCTTGGGTAAGTGTATCCATTTTAATTTCTAAAGGTATGTCGCACGTGAAATTTGTTAAATCAAGGATTTTTTAGAAGCATATTTTAGATAAGTTCTCATATAGTGTGACTCAAAATTGCAAAAGAAATAAGGGTCAGTGTGCATCCTATTGATCTACGATATAATTGAGTTGACCTTTTTGCACTCAAACTCTAAATTTTGAAAAATTGAGTTAACTTTTATCATATTTTACCAGATGTAACCAAGGCAATAAATTCAATTTTTTTTTACGTAAAAAAGTTTTAATAATACCTATCATTGAACAAAACTTGCAAATTAATGCGCTTAAATTATTGTGTGACCTTTTTGCACCAAAAAAGTAACATTTTTGGGGTATCAAATTAATTGAAAGGCAATAAAACATTTTATAAAATCAATCTTTTTTCCACTTTTGTGCTGATTAGTCACAAGAATCGAGTACTTTAAAAAAAATGAAAGATAAAGTTCGGGTCAGTGATGTTAAATTTGAAATATTAGTCAATATATGTGATTTTCGGGAGAAAAATGCTGTAAATTTATCTTGACTTATTAGACATATCTTCATTTTTTGGCAAAGTTTGTTGAAAGAAGGTGTAAAACGTGTTCTTAAAATATATATCCAAACCTATATTAAATATTTCAGTAATATCATAACGGAACATATCTCCGAGTAAAAGTATGTGAGGCTAAAGTTATAGGATATTCAATTTAAAAAATGTGCAGATTTGCAGAATTATCTGCTAAAACGTATTCTTCAAACACAAGAAGTAGTCCCTTATAAAACTTGCTTCTTTGTAGCTTTTTGAGTAGTGTTTTCGTTGACTCTTAAACCATTGACATTGCTGAATTAAAGTATGTTATAATAATTGTATTTTAATGATTTTGAAATTAACTTCAAATTACGTATATCATTAGAATAATACTTTTGTGTATTGATAAATTATAAAATTCTTGAAAAAAGAAAAGGATGTGTTTTTTGTCTGATAATCTCTTAACGTTTTTGATTCCATGCTAATTAAACATGTTTAATATTTCAGAATATCATTGGCCGGTACAATTAACATATGCAGCTGATATTGAACTTCTAATTGTCAAGTGTAAACAATTTCTAATTATACATTTTATGTACAAAGAAAATTATGTTAATTTTTTTTAACAGACAAATCCCAAAATTACATTTGTTCAACATTGTTATTCAGCTTGGGTTTCCAAATATTTTTTTTATAATTTACATTTTAACTTATACGGAAAAGTTTACTGAACATGATAGTCTGATTTTCAATGATTCACATTTTTTATTACTACGGAATAGGAAGTCTACAGTGTGTCATTGATCTTAAATGTCCAAAGGTTTACGAAAATTTGATGACAAAAAAATTTGATCGGATAAAATTTCAAATAAAAAAAGCTTAAAAAGCCAAATTCAAAACACCTCAACGCGGTTCACATTTACATTAATTTAATAGGAAATCTACCATCTTATAACATTCACAGATACACCATCTCTGATCTCGTTATTAATGATTTACTTAGTATTGCATATCACACCTTTTTAAATGCACTGTCTAGGACAAATATTAAATTTTCATTTTGCGATGTTTTCTTAAATTTTCAGTTACCCTAACACCCCCCCCCCCCAAAAAAAAAATGATACCATGTTTAAAAGTTTAACACGTCTGTTTATTATTACACTAGAAAGGATGCTATGTGAATTGTGCAGTGTATTGTTTTGTATTATTTTTATCTCTCTTTCCAGGAAACAACACGTTAAACTGCGTATCTCAGACTTACTTCAGTATTAAGTTTAATTTGATATAAATTAATAATTATTATCTCTGTTATATATCGTTTTTCTAAATCTGCAGGTGCCAGTATTAAGACATCGGGGATTCTAGAACTGAACAAAAATAAATATTATCGCTCTTTTCAGCATGTAAAGTCGTCTTTCTTAGGTGTATCTCAGTATTATTAATGACAATTAAATTGAAGATATATAAATCAATTAATTCTGCGATTCCTCTTGTTTAATTTTACAGGGGACAGTATGTTAAATACAGGTTTTATTTTACCACGATCTGTCTGGGATGTTCTTCTCCACCCAGACAGAGATCACGACGAGTATAGTGGATATAACTCTACTGATCTATTTTAAACAAGTGTCCATGTATATTTTTCTTTTTTAATTCTACAGGAGACAGTATGTTGGACACGGGTAATCCTAACAGAGATCTGTCTGGGATGTCCTTCACCACCCCGGACAGAGATAATGACAGAGCTAGTTTACACTGTGCGACTGTCAGTTACACTAGAGGAGGCTGGTGGTTCAATGCCTGTCACGCCGCCTTCCTTAACGGTCAATGGTCCCCGGAGTCCTGGTACAACCCATGGTCTCCCACAGTAACGAGTGGGACGTCAGTAAGGGGGACCACCATGATGATCAGACGTAACTAGGTAAGCATCATTAAATCTTAATATCCATTTTTTTTTTGTATCACTCTGAAATTTTCAGTTATAAAAGTTGTTTTTTTTTAATAGAAAAAATATGCTATCATACATTTATCTGTAAAGTATTAATTTATTTTTTTTAACAGACGAAAGATCATCCATGGATTACGGAAACCCCCAAGAGACGATTTTAAATTAATTTTTATCGCTGAGTTCTTTTTTTAATATTTAACATCAAGTAACAAACAGTAAAGGAAGGAGGATTGAAAGGCTCTGTAAAGCGATACTGGATGTATTCAGTAAAAGATGTATTTTATATGTGTTGTAATAAATTTGAAAATAGAAAAAATTGTTCTTTTTTTCCAAACACTGATAAATGGAGATAACTGGACGGAGAATTAGGATGAAAATTACTTTTTTGTTAAACCTATTACAGTGGAACCTGTTTAATCCGACACATGCAATACTCTTTACTGTGATTTCAGCCATTGTCATTTATAATTATCTCAAGGATCTTTACACGCTGCAATACTACACTTTGTTTATTTCAACACATATATTTTTAATCTGTTCCCCGTGCATGTCGGATAAGACAAGTTTCATTGTAATAAAGAAGTTAAGATATAAATATTTTTTTTTAATCAACTGTAATTTTTTATTGTGTTTTTTTTTTATTTCAAAACACTCTAACACAGATCGGGGATTAAAATGTTACATGTGTAATATGCGTTTTATTTTGACGTCTCAAATCTTAAAAGCAAAATTTGAGATCATTTAAATTCATTATTTAGGTTAGAGATAATTTAAAAAAGTGAGAAAAAAAAATCAAATTTGCGAAACAAGACAAGGAGTTAGAAAATAAATGAGCACCGATTCATTATTTTTTGAAAGATGTTATCTTATAATTACAACTTTTGCAAATAAAAAGCAAGCTGACATTAATCAATATGTTTGCTAAAACTTTTGTAATTATGAGACTACATCTTTAAAAAATGATTCAATATGTGTGACAAGTCATTCTCCTTTATGCAATGTGTATACGATGGTTTATATACTAGTATATCCAAAAATTTGATAGACTACAACTTGAAATTTGTTATTAAATCAATAGGAAAAGTTTTAGGAGCTAATGATAAAAATTCAAGAAAAGTTTGTGAAACAAAGAGGCTTATGATAAATGTTGTCGTTTGCAGGTCAAACACCAAGGTCAATATAAAGGTAGTTTTGGTACCAAAAGAAAAGTTCCTCACAATGAGTCTACCTTCTAAAATAAAAACCATATAAGCAGCAACAGTTCAGTAATTATGACCAAAGTTAGAGATTTTCAAAAGTAGGTCAAACTGGACAAGGTCAAGGAGTCAATATTAATGATGCCCAAAAGAATTTCAGAAAGAATACACAGGTGAAATATAAAAGTCACGAAATCAACCATTCAAAAGTTATCACCAAAGTTTTTTCAAAAGGTGGTCAAAGTCTGATGTCCAAATAAAAGGATAAAAATATAAAAAGAAAATATTGGTATTCAAGAGCAGCTTTTACCACAGGAAATGAACCCGTAAAATAATTAACCCCTAGCACAAAATATTCAGTAAATACGACCAAAGTTAACGTTTTTGAAAAGTAGGTTAAATCCATAAGATCAAGGTTAAAGGTCATTACTGTTTGTACTCAAGAGAAGGTCTTATCAAAATATAAGCGTGAGGAGTATGATATCACTTGATTTAACCGTGTAGTAACTATGGCTAAGAATAAAATTTTGAAAATTTCTTTAAAAGTGAGTCAAACATAAAGGTCAAAGTCAGAAATGCTTTTACCCTAGGAAAAGTTTTTACACGTTGAATACACCAGTGAAATATTATAGCCATAGTTCATATGACAAAGACTCAAATTACAAATTCCAAACTGAAAGTTAAACTAAAGAAAAAGACCTGTGAAATATGAAATCCATAGCTCAAACCAATTAAAGGCTGTAGTCAGGGCTAATTGCTTTACCACTAACAGATAAATCAGGAAAAAAATAACAAACAGACAACTGGACCGACCGTCCTAGGAAAATATATTTGCCCCTTATTTTTTGGATTAAGGATAGAAATTTTAAAAACAACACTTTGTGCTAAAATGTTTGTATGTCTGGTGCGAGGAGACCCCAGTCAGTTTCCTTAGGAAAATAACGAAACAATATAATGCACAGTCTGTCTTTGTGTACATGCTATTCATAGTTTATTTAAAGCATGAGGATAAACGTAGATCTCTTCCGAGGAGACGAATATACAATCTGAGGATAACTCTAAATCTCTTCCGAGGAGAGGAATATACCATCCAATGATAAATTTAGATCTCTTCCGGTTTTTGGAGAGTCTTAATAAAATTTTACACCCTAAAAGGGAAAATTTGATACAGTTTTAGAGAAATAAGATTGTCTGGTATCCAAATTCAGTAGACATTTTAAGGGAAAGTATTAACCCTATAAAGGGAAAATTTGTATACAGTTTTAGAGAAATAAGATTGTCTTAGAATAACAAAGGAATACCAATGCTTTAAAGAGTGATTTGTGGTGTCTTGCAATGTTAGCAAAAGCCTTTATATGTATTAAGAATATATAACCATTTAATGATGATTAGATCATGGCAATTTTTCTGAATGCCTGGAACTATCCTTTCTTAACCCGAAATATATTAATTGATCAACACCATGCTGTATTTAATGAAATTATATAACAAAAGATAATGGTTGCAAACTTTTGTTTATTTTGAGATCTTTCATTGAACTTTATACACCAATAAATGAAATTATATAAAAAGAGATAATGATTGCAAATGTTTATTTTAATTGAAAGAAAAGAAACTCTTATGCTCCAAATAAAATGGAGAATCCTCACAAATAAAGGGAAGTTTTAGTCCGTCTTCTCCTGTATAGTACGTGTAGTTTCTCTCAGTCACCCAGCGCCACCTGCCGTCGTTATGATAAGTCAAAGAGGAGGCCAAAGATTGGGTCAACTGCTGTCTCGCCCATTCATCGTTAGGATTCCAGTTCTGATACGTCACTGGTGTCCAATCAATATCAAAAATGAGTCTTTGGTTAATCTTTAAGATGATCCCACTCTTACAATTTCATGTTTTCAAATTATATAAAGTTTCATGTACTTCAATTCACATCAACAAGTCATTGTAAATATGTTAAAATGTCAATGATATCGTTCGAGGAGTGAAGTTTCTTTTATATAATGCACTACATGTATAACGTAAATATACCTTACGGCTTAAAAAAATGAAATATATTAAACCATGGGTTAGAAAAAAAGATTCATTCCTTATATTTTTGTTTCAGTGTTGACGACAAGACAATTTTTCTTACCAAAAATGGCATAAAATTGAGCATATTTTAAAACAAACGTCTAGAGGAGATATTGATATATTTGGGTCAGAAAAACGACTTATTACCTATTTCAAATAAGTTAAAAGTAAATAACCCTCTTTTTGTTGTTTTAACCTTGTCATTATTACAAAGGTGATTTTTAATATGTTTTACCTGTAACAATTCAACTCAACAGGAATGTAGCTACAATCGGAAGGCCTCTTGACACTAGTTTGAGATTAATGCATTGGGTATTTCTTTAACCGTAAATAAATAATTAAATCCAGGAAACAATTTCAGCAACGCTCTTTGAAAGTAGAAATAATAGCAGAGCCATTTTTGTGTAAACATGATAATTTGTCAATGTGTCATATAGAGAGGAAAAGTAAAGGTTTTGTTCTAGTTTTGACTTTTTTTTTTAATTTATAGGCATATATGTATTTTTGAGTTCACAAATAGTGCGTAAGATTTCTTTTGACTGAAATTTATTTTAGATATCCGATTTGAATAACTGATAGTTTTACTGTAATCAAAACAGCAAATTATCTTAAAAATAGAGTTATGAAAAACTCTTGAAGTAAAACCTGACGAGATAAATCATGAAGAGTTATTCTTCTTGTCTCATAAAAGCCTTTTTACCTTTTGTGACATGAAATTAGACACAAGTAACATCTTTTTAAAAAGCTTGCCAGTCTACATCAATCAATATCTGCACGAGAAGGGATACACATTTGGAGCAATAGCTTTGTGGGTTTAAAATATGTACTAACTATCTATTTTGAAAACCTAGTATAAATGAAAATCTCATTGTATTTAACTTGTAGAAAAAAAAATCCTTTCTACACTGCATACTAAAAGTTGTTATTCTCTTGGTGTTTTCCTCAGGTGGAGCGGTCTGCCCTTGGATCTAAATTAATTTCAAGCTGCATTCCAACACCTATTAGAAAATCTGTTATCAAATCATGAATTATAAACATTTTAAAAGATATATATAATTTGATACACATTTTGCTAGATTGTATTTTCTCCACTGAGGTAAACGGTAGTAATGTGTGTTCATCAATATTTTTGAGTTAAATTAAATAAAGAAAGTGGCATCTGGGTAAGATTTTTTTTATTATTTGTACAAAAATGAAATACTTATTAGAATTTTAGTACATATTTAACCTAATAAAACCTTAAAAAGCAAATCATAATGCTCGGGGGTCATCTTAATGATGCGATATTGAACACGTCCAGCAATGGTCACCGTGTTAATTTGAATACTGATACTAAAAATATGAGGAAATGTTTTAGATATATAATAAAGGAGTTATTGAACTTATATTGGTGAATATTGGCAAAAACTGGCTGTTAAAATGCAGATTCTCTTGAATACATATATGGTATGTATTGATTTCAAGCTGCATTGAATACATATATTATATGTATTGCTGGGCAGACCTTGAATACATATATGGTATGTATTGCTGAATACATATGTGGTATGTATTGCTGGGGTTTTATACTTTGATTTTTATAGGACCAGTTGTAAAGATAAAGATGCTTATTTAATTATTGGATTTTAAAACCTGTTGAGCCTTGAACACTGTGTTGTCTTGTGTTTAAATAGTTTAAATATCTTTTATGAAGTGAACCCTTGTTTTCACCAACATAAATAAGTTCACAAAAATTAGACGACATTCAGTAGACAGCGTCATAGTAATTAAGTTGATGCAAAATTAAAAATTTGAACCAAATTAAATGTAGAGTTATCTCTCTTGTCTTAGAGAGGCTGTTTGTGACACAAAGAAAACCATAATGTAAAAGGATGGAGGCAATCTTTTTTTTTAACAAACGATACAGCTAACGTAATGAGTTGAATGACATTTTTTTAATCAGACCGTAAATCATTAGGAAAATTAGTAATACAGACATATTCAAACTGATTT